CTACTGCTACTACTACTGCCACTGCCACAACAGCAACTATTGCTACTATTACATCGGATGCTACCCCTGAAGGAGCAGCTGCTCAGTAGCCAGAATGAGCTCGACGAGCGCTTAGACAAGCACCAGGTGCGGCATGACGCTTGCGCTGTAGGGTTTCGGGGTCTAGGCATTGAGGGATGTAGGGTTTTGTGTTTGGGGCCTTGGGTTTTGAAGTTTCTGAGTTTCATTGTTTTACAGTAGGGGTTTAGGGTAGATGATGTTTAGAGGTTAAGGGTTTGAGGTTTTGGGGCTTAGGGGCTGAGGTGCTTAGAAATCTAGGGGTTTTGGGGTTTCGGGCTTAATGTTCAGGGGTGTAGGGGTTCAGGGTCTGTAGTATAGAGTTGGCTGGCCGAAACCCAAATCCTAGTTCCATAAACACGAGCCCAAACCATGGCTGTCAAGCAACAGAGCTCTGAACTCTAAAGACCTGAACCACACAATTAAAACCTAATCTCCCTATCCTAGCCCACATCACCCCAAAAAGGCCAAAACAAAGCAACGACTTAAAGCTGAACTGAACCTAAACCCAGTATCACAAATGACGACCTCAAAAAGTCAGACCTCAACTCTAAACTCTATAACGTCATACCTCTATAGAGACGTCGAGTCCTGCCGTGTATTCCCGCGCCCGACCAACCGAATCCTCAAACCATCTCAACACCGATAGTCCTCAGCCAGCCAGAAAATGCACCGACGAGGTTCGGCGAGCACGCGACAAGCTGCTTTCAGCGTTGGAAGGAAATCCGGTGATCGAAGGTGCAGACCCTGCCCAAAGGATCCTAGCATGGTGTAGCCTCAATACCATCCAAAACCTTGGACCCCTAATCCCTACGTGCCCAAACCAGGCGGGAGGAAAGAGCCCTAAACCCTCAGCCTCTGAACCAACAAAAAACCAAGCCAGGCGGGCGGACAGACCCCTAAACCCTAAGCCTCCAGGCCCATAAACCCCCAAACCAGGTTAAACCCAAGCTTCTAAACCCACAAAAAACCCGCAAAGCAGGTGGGAGCAACAAAATCAACTTCTAGGTGGCAATTTGGGAAATGTTATCCCTTAGGGTTTCTATAGAGGTACCTATTCATAAATACTTTGCAGGGCCCTAAAAGTACAACCCAGACTTTGAAACGGAGAAAACTTGGAGAGCCTTCGAACCGTGGGGATTCCCGACCCATCTTCAGAAGAGATTAGGGGTTTAGGGGTTTAGGGTTTAGTGTAGGGCTTTGGGCTTTCGGGGTTTAGGGGTTTAGGGTTTATGGGTTCAGGGTTTTAGGGGTTTAGGGTTGCTTCGAGTACCTGTGAGAGAGAGAGAGAGAGGTGTTTGGGGTTTAGGGTTTAGGAGGAGTTTAGGGGGTTTAGGGTTTATAAGAAGATAAGAAGACAACTTCGGGTCCCTGGAAGTGATCTTGAAGCGGCATCCTGTAGCAATGGAGGCCGCAAGAATCAAACACTGTTGGAAAACATATGTGGGGTTAGAGTGCTGCTCTGTGTTTTTGTTTCTGTTTATGAATTTTAATCGGGTTTGTGGGCCCTAGTATTCTCAATCAGGCAATGAGGCTAAAAGTAGTACAAGTATGTGGAGACTACACGGGGGATACCCGAATTCCAGACAACAAAGAGCGGAGGTGACGGGTTGGGCCTTTTGGTTTCCCCTGTTTGTTCTGGAGCTTGACATTAACGATGCTCGACAGTCAGGGCGGCTGCAGATTGACCAGGTTCTAATTACAGTAGATGTTCGGTAGATTGTGTTAAACAGCTGACCTCTGGAATCGTGGGGTTGAGGCTGGAGGTTTCTTCCGCACGATGGTGTTGCAGATAATGGTCCGCGAAGCGCGTGTTGCGACAACGGAAATTCCGCGCTCATGTGGGTCACCCGAAACCCGAAACCCTAAACCATAAACCCCAAACCCTAAACCCAACTTAACAAAAAAACTAATGGATTCAGTGGACCCCGAGCCGACAATCCTGCAACGATACACCATATAGTTTAGGGCATTTTCAGGTGGGTAGTTACCGTGATACCAGCCTTATAGAAGGTCTATATGCCTCATAGAAGCCTTATAGAAGCCCTATATACCCTAAACTCCCCACCTGTAGTTTCCTTTAGTATAGGTTTTGCAGGTGGCAGCGACGAAGAGATGAACCGCATCATCATCTACAAGGGCCGCCCTCTGCTGCTTTGGCTGCACTTGGGGTCCCGCCTTTACGATTAGAGCAGGATGTCAATGGCTTTTATAGTAAATGAACAGGGTTTTATAGCCCTACAAGAAGTAGAACTTCCGCTCGAGCCCCCACATCAAAGAGGCAACGTAAATTTGTTGGCTTCAAATTAACTTGCAGTAACTACCAGTTAGTCTGGCAGCACTAAGCTGGACAACTGCATCCCCTGCGCAACCAACACACGCTGAGGAAGGCGCAGCTACTTCACTTCGCGGCCACGCGGAAGCGATTAGCTTACCTGCATGGGCTTGGAAAAGGTGTTGCGCCGTGTGAGGACATTTTAGCTGAACCCTATATATGTCCTGAACCCCGAAACCCTTGGTTTAGTTTAGTTGGAAGAGCCATAATATGCCCCACATGCTAAGCCCAGAATGCCCCTTCAAGGACCTGGAGATTTCGTGGGGTAAAGTGACAAGTGGCGCATTCTTAATTCTTTTTGGCTTATGAGCCTGGTAGGCCAACTGACGAGGTCCCCACGCCCACCCTCCCCTCCCATATTACCTTCTTCACAGCAGATGCACCGTGTGGAAGCAGCCGAAACTCCTTTTCGCCCAGAAGCGTCGAAGGAGAAGGTTGAGCGACAGCGAGCGGCGACAAGCCTGAACCCTGAAATCCGCAGAGAGCGTAGCAGGGTTTAGGGTTTAGAGCCCACTACAGGGTTAGTTTCGGGTGGGTTTAGGGTTTCGGGACTACACTGCAGCTAAGGTATGGGTCTCCGCCCGACTGAAGGAGAGCACATGCGTCGAAAGGCAGGACGGTTTCTACGGATTGGAGGTTGAGAGTTTTGGAGTTTAAGATGATCAGTGATGCGATTTATGCGCTATTCGTTCCCTACATAATTAGAGAGGTTGATATACCGCAAAACCAATATTTAGGCCTCAGTGTGATATGTCCAGTCGACCAGGCCTGTTTGAACCGGGTCTAAAGTTTGCAGCTTTGTGACAGGGTTCCTAAGCGCATGTATTTGCAGAGGTGCATCTACGGAGGTCCAAGCACCTTCGATCCTTAAAACCCACCCCAAAACAACAGCATATAACCCTACACTCCATCTTGAACCTTACACCCTAGCCCTTAAAAGCCTAAAGCCCAAAAGCCCTGCCAGGCTACTCCCGTTGCTGTCCGAGCAGGACCTTTTTGCCAAAGCCAAGCACCAGACACGACCAGGAGGGGTCCTCACGCATATAGCCGGCCGGGGTTCGGTTTAGGCTTGAGCGTTCACCAGAGGTGAGATCAGCGCTTTAACAGAAAGCTCTTGCCCTGAGCCCCCCCAGAATGTCGGAGACCCAAACTCAACAACAGCATGCTTACACTGTTCACTTTAATTTCAGCCAGTCTTTGTGTGATATTCAAGGCCCCTGTCTCCCTACTAGGATGGAGCCGAGGTGCCGAGTTGCAATCTTCAATCTTCAGTTTCGGGTATGAATGTAGGTATGTTTTGGTTCAGGTTCAAAAAACTATCTAAGCCAAAACGGTAGGTATGCCTTCAAGCAGATGTGCCATTCGGAGAGCTTTGGGGGATGTGTTTGCGTTGTTTCAGGCCTCCCATGTGGGATACAAGGCTAAGTAGTTGTTGTATAGACATAATCCGAGTTCTGGCCCCTTTTGATGTTTTTATCATATGTAACTCTTATTACCCACTTACTAGTTGAGTCACCCGACCCTCCAAGTTGATGCCGGAACCTATTTCCCAAAAGATGCCATCATGATGCCATCATGCTAGGATGAAACCCATGCCGTGAACTCTCCGGATCAGTCCCTCAATCACGCCAGCATGCAAGAGTTGCTCCGAACTCTACATCTAAGGCTCTTACCGATGCTATCGTTGGCAAGAGCATAGGGAACCTTTCAATACCTTTCCTCGGATTAAACAGGGCTCCTGGAGTTGAACGAACTCCCCGGCGACTCTCTGAGGCAGCACAGACGAGACTTGGTTGGACTCCATCCACATCGCTGCCGGTTTAGGACCGGACGAGCACGGTTTAGGGTTTAGGGTATTTCGGTCACTTGAGCCTTCTTTGTCAATTTGTAGCGTCTGCCACGTCTTGCCTTACGGTAACCCAGGAAAGCCCTGGAGTCCTAAACCCCGACATCCTACAGCTTTAAAACCCAAAGGCCCCAGACCACGAAGCCCCGAAGCCCTGCAGCCCTAAACCCTAAAATCCTCAAGGCTTACGCCCTTCAACACGCAAGCTTTTGAACCCCAATCTTACACATTTCCCATACCCCAAAACTCCAATATCTCTCGAGTAGTATATCCCTGAACATGTAAAGAGTAGTTTCATTATTCTACTCTGGGCAGTCTTCTTGATCAACGGTTAACTGGACCCTTTGGCTACAACTTAAAATCCCTGCGCCGTAAATCTTGAATCCGAGAGCTTGTAAACCCCAAATTTCAAAGCCCAAAACCCCATATCCTTATGAGCTACCCATAGGCCCCATAGTAGTTCCATTGTGGGATTCCCTAACAGGATCCTACATATAAGCCACAAAAAGGAAGTACTATGGGCTCTATGGGTAAACCCCCAAACCTTGAGCCTGAAGCCATATCCTTATGAACTAAACCCTAAACGTTAAACCCTTAACACGAAGCCGTTTGGGTTTAGGGCCTTGAGCCTGAAGCCGGCCAGATCCGAAGGAGCTGTGGGCGTGATGGAGGTCTTGCGCGATCATGTCGTGCTCCAGGCCATGGTAATCTAGGGGCCTTGATAATTAGAATAGGGTTTTGGGGGTTCCTTTAAAGGGCTCCTTACAGGGTTCTATGAGGGATCTATGATAGGGTTCTATAGTAGGGGCCTTAATAATTAGAATAGGGTTTTGAGGGTTCCTCATTATCATTAAAGTATAATATACCCCAAAGCCCTATTCTAATTATTCGGGCCTCTACAGCAGAGCGTCGGCCGTGAGATTTGAGCATGCCTCTGGGAAACTGCACAGTGTAAGGGTTTCAATAACCCCGAGGGTCCATGCACCCAAAAAGTATAGACGTTGGGCCTTAAAGTAGTCCCTCTAGAGGTACCTTGGGCCCAATGTATTTACTATATGAGTGGGCTGGTAGGGCAACAGCATGAGCAACAGCAGCCACAGCAACATCGCAGTAACACAAGGCACCTACCATCTCGACCGGAACCCCTAAACCCTAACGGCCCCAAGCTTTCCATAAACATCATGGCACACCCGAACGGCCCCAATTTTTTGTCCATAAACCTCATGGCGCACCCTAACCGCCCCAACCTTTTCCATAAACCTCATGGCACACCCTGACGGCCCCAACCTTTTCCATAAACCTCATGGCGCAGGCGAAGGCCAAGACGCAGTCGCACTACGTGAACACCCCCTGCTGCTCGGATCTCCCTGACCAAAGGCTCCAAAAGCCTCTCTTTCGTCACAGGGTTTAGGGTTTGGGTTTGGGTTTAGGGTTTAGGGTTTAGGGTTTAGGGTTTGGGTATCGGCTGCTTGCTCCAACTCCGGGCGAAGTGGAAAGCCCGCTGCAAAAAGGGTTCCGATACCGTCAAAAGGAGCACACGCTGTTGTGAAAGGGTAGTTGAAAAGTGCTCATGCTTGCTCTGCTAATCTGCTCATCCCAAGTCTCTAGCAAACCGGCATGTCCGAGGGTAGGATAGAAACCCTCGCCCATTGCTATCAGCATGTCTTGAGAACCCCTGCGGCATGAAATGTGAGCTCAAGTTACCCCTAAACCGATTCTAGTCTGATGTCCCTGCATCCGTGGTCGGGGCTTCATTCAGCATTCTCAGGCCTGCGAACTCTGTTTTTTGCCTCAGCAACGAGGGACCACGAGACTTTCTACTAAACTAAACCCTAAACCTTGTGCTGGTCTCAGCGCCGGACGACGCTAAGCCGCTAAGCCAACAAGAGCACAGCAGCCTCACCACCTTAGAGGTCGGACTGCACCCTACATTCTGAAAGCCTAAACCCTGAAACCATAAATTCTGAAACCTTAACCCTGAAGCCTGAAATTACTGAAACTCTAAATTCTGAAACCCGAAGCCCCCAAACCCTAAACCCGGAACTCTGAGCTCCCAAACCCCAAACGAAAACTCCAGTGAGTTTAGGGCTTCTGGGGTTTTGGGTATAGGGTATAGGGTTGATTTTAGCGCTTCTGGGGTTTAGGGTTTAGGGTTTCGGGTTGATTTTAGGCTTCTGGGGTTTAGGGTTTCGGGTATAGGGTTTAGGGTTTAAGGTTTAGGGTTCGCCCGAAACCCTAAACCCTAAACCCTATGGGGTTGGTCCAGCAATCTGAGGTCTGGTCCATCACCGGCCAGAGCACGGCCAACCCTGGCCCCTTCGCCCTTAGCTGCTGCTTCTTCAGGGTTTGGCTTTTGGGGTTTGGGGAATACGGGGGTTAGGAGGCTTAGGTTTAGGGTTTGGGGTTTAGGGTTTAGCTTTAAGGGTTCAGGGTTTAGGGATTTGCGGCTCGAGGTTTGAATTCTAGGACCTTAAGTTTCGGGTGCAGTGCAGGGCCGTAGGCTTTCACTTTGCATATCTTTCGGGAATAGGGCTTTGGCACTCAAAGTCGTCGCTGTGTTGGCCTGTGTTTGGGCGGAACCGCCTGGCAGACACCTTTATAGTAGAAGCCAGAAAGTTGGAACATCAATATGCCCATCACCTTAAGGTAAAGTATAGGGGATCCTAGCACCAATCCTCCTAAACCCATGTTCCAACTTTCTGGTAAACGAGAACCCCTTGGGGAAAGAAAACATACGAAAACACTGCAGAGGTTTCTGGGCTTTTGTCGCCCTGGCTTCCCACCCATGTATCTGTGATAGTGCTTTGGGGTATACTTCTTTGGCTTGGGACTGGGAGCTTTGCAAATGTCTCAGCTCAAATAACGCACCATTAAATCTAGCTGAAGTCTGGCATTGTAGCATGTATCTGAGGGAAGAGGAGTATTACATCCCGCTGCACGATGCCACCAATGCCGGCTGCTTCCTCAGTGAGCATGATTCGCAGCATTCGGTTCAGCTCTTCTCGGGGAACCTAGGTATCGGTATTCCATTGTTTCAGTCGGCACCTCTCCAGTTCCAGTCGCCCTGAACCCAACCCCGTGGCGACCCACACCTTGCCGCGGTATCCCAAGCCGTCATTCATAGGTGTGCCCCTATACAACCTTGGGTCCTCTTGAGATAGACCAGGGTTCCCTGAGCTCTAGCTGTGTCAAAATATAGTGTGCCTTTCGTAAGCCCGGGCCAACACACATTCATCGGCGAGTGTCTTTGAATTTCCGAAAACGACACGTCAACATAAAATACTAAGCCCAGATGGGCCAGGCAACATCGAAGTGTCCATGTGGCTGTTGATGCACGGGGCAGATGCCCGCGCCAAGAACAAGGACCGGCTGGGTTTAGGGCAGAGGGATCTTATGCTCCGGGTTTAGGGTTTAGTATAGGGGCCATATTAGTTGCCTATTCTATTTTTTTCGAGGGTGGTTCCTTATTAATCATCATAACAATAGTTAAATAGGCCCCGGAACCCTATTCTAATTATTGAGGCCCTTACAATAGTGTGCGAAACCCTTAAGCCCAAAGAGGGCCTGGGTTTCGAATATGAGGATAGTTATAGCTCCGATTGCTAGGCCTTTCAGAATCTTCGCACAAACAAAAGAGATGCTTTTGTCAGGTCCCTAAATCGTATAGCCTGCTTAAGCTAGATTACTTGCCGAATAAATCCCTCCTCTGCCCAAGCCCCTCAATCCTTGAGGCTGCAGACTCCGAACCCTGAATCCTAAACCCTAAACCCCTAAACCCTAAACCCAAGACCGAAAACCCTAAATCCTAAACCCGAAACCCTAAACCCAGGACCGAAAACCCTAAACCCTAGACCAAGCCCTGAAGCCTTAAGCTGAAATCGAGGACCCCAAGCCCTAAGCATGACACCCGGAACGAAAACACCGAGAGTCAAGGGTTCAGAGGTGTTTAGGGTTTTAGAGGTTTAGGGTTCTAGGGTTTAGAGGTTTATAAGCATAGGGTTTTAGGATTTAGAGGCTTATAGGGTTTAGGTTTTAGGGTTTGAAGGTTTAGAGAATTAGGGTTTTAGGGTTTAGGGAATCTCAGACCCCCGTCCAGTGGACCCGAGGACGGGGTAACTCCTCTCCACTTCGTCGCCCTGCGAGGCACTGTGCTTCGGGTTTAGGCTTTACCTGCAACCCAAGAGATACATGATGCCACAACATCCTCCAGCCCTCAGGCGTGGTTGGAGGGATTGAAAGCGACGACGAGGCAGGGAATCGCCCCGACCCTGAGCCCAGAGCCCCCAAAACAGAATGTATAACGCCCTGCATCTATATGGACATAACTATGCTCATATTTCTTGTCCAGTGTTACCACAACCATTACTATATTGTTCTTGTCCGGAGCCCTCAACCTTAATTCCAATAGCCCTGCACCTGTCAGCGCTAGAACCCCAAGCCCAGAACCCAGTTCAGCATCTAGAGTTTAGGATGGCTTAGTAAAAAAAAAGGTTGCCCATGACTCAAAACCGCAATGCAAAGACTGGCAGAGTGCTGGTTTTCTGCCTGGGTTTCCACCTGTCCATGGCGGGACCCCAGGGAGCACAAGGGTTTGGAGGTTTTGGGGATGCTGGCCTCGGAAGAAGCAGACTGGTTGCACAGAAACTAATCACCTTCAGAGGTCTAGAGTCCCCAAAGCCTGAGATATGTTGCCGATTCAGGATTTCGGGTTCAGGGTTCAGGGTTCAGGGTTTAGGGATTAGGGATTTAGGGTTCAGGGTTTGGGGTGGCACAGAAGCTAGCTACCTTTAGAGGAGGTCTAGAGTCCCCAAAGCCTGAGATGTGTTGCCGATTCAGCCGATTACCCTGTCTAGGGTTTAGGGTTTAGGGTTTAGGGTTGTTTGTTGTTTTCCGATACGTAGAACGAGCAACACCGTGATTTCCACGAGAACTGCTTCTACAAACCAAGCCGTAGGCAACCAATGGCCTGACTGTGTAGGACAACCAACTCCATCCGATTTTCAGGATTCGTTTTGAACACGTGGGCTCTTGTAAGGAAACTTGTACCAAGTCACCATAGCCGCCGGAGCATATACTAGATGTTGCCTTCCCTCTTGTGATAAACGACTTTAGGTTTTCAAGAAGAACCCACTGACGTAGCCGCTCAGAAGAACGGTCTAAAGTAGCTCCAAAGGTCATCCGATTGGTGCAAGTCTTGTGCCAACGCGGCGCATCTCTGGAGTCGAGGACAGCCATGCAAGTGGCGTTTGCAGCTGCGAAACTTAGAGGATCAGGGGACTTAGCAAGTAAGGTTAGCGGTACACTAGTTAGGGTCATAAGTGGACAAACAACTATAGGTACCTTACTTACCCTGCTTACTAAGTCCGCTGATCCTTCAAGTCAGGGCCTAAATAACGGCATATAGCAGCTACTGTATTCCTATTCACAAGGGTCGAGTATCAGAGAGTCATAGACGCCTAATAAATAGCAGCTATGAGTCCTGTTACTTGGGGTTCCTTCCGGCAACTACCCTTGGAATCTGATTGGTTAATACAACCCCTGCTTGAGATCCCTGCTACAGTATGTAACTATGCAACATTTGCCAGAATAAGGGAATAGTAGCGGAGTAGCAGTCCCGCTCGAAGTCGTCGTCGCGGTGGCAACAATGGCCCTGGTTAGTCCATGTGAACTCATTTTTGAGATCCTTAACCCCACCCTAAAACCCTAAACCCTATAGCGCGATGCCGCTGTTTTCGCTAGACATCTGGCGCGGGAAGAGGGTCGTGCAAAAGAAATCTTTATGAGCCGTAAACCCTAAGACCCTAGAGCTCCAGCTCCAGTAATCTATAGATTTGGGGTTTATGGTTTAGTGGTTTAGGGTTTCGGGTTTGGGGTTTATGGTTCAGTGGTTTAAGGTTTAGGGTTTGCAGGGGTTTATGGTTTAGTGGTTTAGGGTTTAGGGTAATGCGACCACCGCCTCCGGCGCCACACGATTGCTGGTAGGTTTTTGGTTTGGAATACTCCAATCGGGGCCAGCTTCAGGGTTCTCAGCGGTTTCGTTTGGAGCCCGATGGCATCAATGAAGCGCGGCTCCTAAACCTGAAACTCTAAACTCCCTATAAACACTATGCACAAGTCGAGAAGGGCACCAAAAAGCCTAAGTCCCCACGCATCTGCAGGATACCAATGTCGCATCCCGACCCCTTGATGCGTGGGAAGCTGCTTTCTCGCAAGTGTTCCGATTCCTCCTTCAAGTAAGGGGCTTCATGTGTACGTGACGGCTTCGTGCACGTGCTGGTTGCCCCACCGTTGCTGCTTGCACAAGCACCACTACGTACCCCCAGACACAGTAACCCACATGAAGCGCAGCTATTGCTGGGTTATGCAGCTGCGGGTGCCCTTCATACAGACGCTCGAAACAGGCACTGAACAAGTGGTAATAGTATCCCCTTAGTTGCAGCCCTTGCAGCCCTCTGTATACTAATGTGACCCTAAGACCCCCAAAGTCTTGAACTTCGCAAGGCAAGCCCCTGACATTCCGCTGTGGAGTCGGTTTAGGTATTAGAGAATTTAGGGGTGTTTGAGCTTTAGGTTTTTTGAGATTTTGGGGGTGGAGGGGTTTTTTGTCAACGGGCCTAGGATGTGTAGGGTTGAGGGTGATGGGTTTGTGGTATATAGTGTTGAGACTCACGAAGACATGGTTTCTCCGTCAGTTCACAACCGTATCTAAACTGTCATCAGCATTATATATATATATATATATCTATATCGCCGGTGGGAGAGGGGTTTTAAAGGGGGCGGTCTGTCATGAAGGGGGGAGTGACCATATATATATATATATATATATACATACCTTGATGCACTCATATGTTAACATAGGGGGGCTGCATGACTCACGGTACTATTCCGGAGGCTTGCCTAGCATGGCTAAAGCGGCCTTTCCAGAGTCCGACAGAGTCCGAATTGAAATTCAGACATGGCACAGAGAATTCCTTCCAGCTTATGGGTATCGTTAACGTCATATCGCGCATCCTCACATTTTTCTGTTCGCACACATCGTTGTAGGTCCGGGGGGCTGCCTTTCAATAAGCGCTCCTAATCCCTAAAAGCACCGACTTCCTCATGGTGTTAGAAGGGTTTTGAGGGTTGTGTGTTTGAAGTGGTACTTGGACCAGCGGTCCTGAAGGCTTGCCCGTGAGAGTTGCAACCCCAAAGCCTGAAACCACAAAAAGGCCTTCAACACAAGAACTCCTGCGCCACCAACTCACAAATAAATACAGACTTATATGAATAAAACTATGTATGTATCCATGAACCAGACAGACCTGAGACCCTACTGCGGTAGCATGCGCAGTCATCCCAGGGTCCCCCTTGAGCTGGCCGCCACCGACCAGAGTCGACACTGTTCTCATGTTGCCTTGTGGATGGCTAGGCGTTTCCTACTTGAAGGTTTAGGGATTAGGGTTTAGGGTTTAGGGTACTTTTTCCCTTCTTTGAAAGATCAGGGGACATAACAAAACAAGGACGTTGTATACACGGTGCTTTTAACTACAGTTATAGCCTACGTGTTGAGTGCCTTTGGTGAAAGGCTTCGGCATAGTGTGTTATGGCTCGCTTGGTTCAGGTTGCAGTAAGTCTAGTGGCATGAACGAGTTTAGGGTTTAGGTTTGAGGGATTTGATGGAATGAAGGGGATTGGATGTGTACAGATTCGATACGGAACTGGGCTTCGAGTTCTACTTTTTGTAACAAGGGTCGGGAGTCAGTAGGACAGTTGCAGACCGTGGTGCCTGTGCTTATTTGTTCAAGGATCTGTTCCCCAACTTGCAGGAATGTTCTCTCAAGCATGCGAGGGGATACCCCAAACGAAGGCTTAAAGGCTCAGCGCAAGATAAGAGCCGGCCCAAAAGCCTGTGAAGGAATCATGTAAGGGCCAAGGGTACCTGTTCACGATATACTACACTGCAACCCAAACCTCCATTCCAACAGCTCAGGCTGTTATATTAGGGTGATTCCGTCTTGTGCCTTGTGACAGATTTGGGTACGCGCACGATGTGTGGTTGGCGTCTAGCAGGACATGAACAAAGCCCTGGCTTCCAGGCCAACATCCTGTAGAGATGTGCCTGAGGCTTAAGCTGAAAGCTTGCTTCTTTGTTGATCTTCTCGAATAGTGGGCCGCTCTGACGCTAAATCAGGAGGCCAGTGCCTGCATGTAGAAGGGCCTTAATAATTAGAATAGGGCTTGAGGGCCAGGGTATATTATACTGCAATTAAAACAAGGAACCCCCTAAACCCTATTCTGATTAGTAAGGTCCCCTACATTGCATGAAACCCAAAAGGGCAGGAGCTTTGTTTCAGCAACAAGGGTTTGCGTTTGTGTCCCGCTTAGCCACCCCGAAGGGCCCCGAAACCCTAAACTCTAAACCCCAAGCCCGAAACACCGAGCGACCCAGGATTCCCTAAGCATGTGATGCACATCCTGGCGCCTCGGCTGTCGTGTCGGTTTTTCGGGATTTAGGGTTTGGGGTTTAGGGAAGGGCTCATATTTTGTTGAGGCTTTGGGGCTCAAAGAGATGTGGCTTTGAGCTATTTTGTACCCTAAGGCCGCACATTTACAGACTTGCTGTTCTGATGTGCTGGACAACCCTAAACCCTAAACCCTAAACCGGGTGCTTTGCAGGTAGCATGCTCTTGTCGTGCATAGAATGGCACGTGTTCGTAGTGTAGGGGCCTAAGTAATTGCAAATGTTTTTTTTTGGGGGGTCCTTATTATAGTTATAGTATAATGGGCCCCAAAAGCCTGTTCTAATTATTAAGACCCCTTTAGTCATGTTGTTTATTTACCGTGATTCTCGCCTTCGTTGCGAAGCCAGGAGGTGAGCTGAGCTGAAACGACTGAAACGCTTGCTAAGTCAAACAACACGATTGGAAGCAGTTAAAGAGACAAAAGGTATAATTGGGGTAAGCCCTAAACCTCGCTAAACAATCGCAAGCCTACATCAGCCACAGGCCCCCTGCTTGAACAACCAGTCTGGTGGGGAACCCCGCTTCTTTTCCGACATTTGCGCCTTGTCATATTTTGACAGCTGGTCACCATGGAGCGACTGAGTATGCACCTGTGTCGTTTTCGATTCCGGGACATCGTGTCCCCTGCGACGCAAGCTTTCATGGATTCTGACTGGGGTCTATCTAGAATACAGGTTCTGTGCCAGGTTGATTTCTTTTAGAGTCCCTAAACCTTAAAGCCCTAACCCCCTAAACCCTAGTTGATTTCTTGTAGAGTCCCTAAACCCTAGACCCTAAACCCCTAAACCCTAGTTGATTTCTTGTAGAGTGGATGAGCAGCTTCCCTGCTGCCTCAGGCTTCCTACTGAGCCTGAACACGGAGGCTGCGGAGGAGGCGGTTGTCCAAACACTGCTGTTCCGCGGAGGTTTACGTAGGTTTAGGGAGGTACTGTCGGGGCCTACATAATATTTTGGGGGCTCCTTATTATAATTATAGTAGAATGGGCCCCAAAACCCTATTCTAAAAATAATGGCTTCGACTCCTTACTTAGACGGCATAGGGCTCTGCTGGGAACTTGCCCAACCCCAATGGAAATTCGATGAAATCCTGATAGCACCCCTGACCAAAATCCTTTAAACACTATTTTTTGGAGCCCCTAAATCCTGAACCTGACTCAGCTCACTGTTTAGGGTTTCGGGAGTTTTAGATTTTGGGGTTTAGACTTCCTTGGCCCCCGAAACCCTACCTTAACCTACCAAAACCCACTTTTTTTGTAGGTTCTTATCATAAACCCTAATATGGGATTTATAGGGACCCTACAAGAAAGTAGGTTCTGGTGGGTTAAGGTAGACCCGAGACTCCCCATGGCCAGGTAGTGAAAGAGTTGGTCCGGAGATCTTTGAAGCAGCCGGAGCTGCTGAACTCCTTTCGTAGCCCGTCACTGGTTAGGGTTTAGGGTTTAGGGTTTAGGGTACTGGTTATTTATGATTTTCGGGTTCAGGGCTTATGAGGTTTAGGGTTCAGGTTTTAGGGTCCGGTCGAGATCTGACAAGGCCGTTGCAAAGGGTACGGGGTTCAGGATTGAGGCTGCTGTTGGGCCAGGGTGATTGTGGGCGGGATTTTCTTGGGCATTTCAGGCGCTTTTGGGTTGAGGCTTTCAACCCCCAAACCCCCTAAACCCCCCAAAACCCCCTAAACCCTAAACCCCCTAAACCCTAAACCCCCTAAACCCTTAGCCTAAACCCTAAATTCGTTTGTTGAGTTGGGGCTTGCGGCGCTCGGCTTTGCGGGTGCGGAATGGGAGGCGATGTGCCGTAATATAGGGGCCTAAAAAACTGCGTATACTATTTTGGGGGGTTCCTCATTATACCTAATATGGTATAATATACGTACTTATGAAGGCCCCTACATGACACCCTACCGCACTGAAGCTTCAAGGCTTTTCGACCTACAAGCCCAAGTCCCGAAAGCGCAAGAGCTCTCATAGCCCGGAGCCCTGAAATCGTAAATCCCCGAGCCCAAAGCCTTGCTAGCTGCTAGTAGTAGTATTACTAGTACTAATAATCATAATAATAGTAATAGTAATAAAAATAAAATAAAAAATAATAATAACAATAATAATAATAATAGCAGTATAACAATAATAGCATCGTGCGAGTGCGAAAGTCGAGGACATATCATTCCCTCAGATGTTTGTCGTCGCCTGAGGCCTAGATGCGCAGCAGCCCGGACGGACGGTCCCTGCCTTAGCCTGCATGAACTTCTGGCGGATGTTTGGGGTGCTGGGTGGAGGATGTCAAGAGTTTGCAGTGTTAATACAGGGGGCTTTAATAATTAGAATAGGGTTTTTGGGGGTATACTATACTATAATGATATAATAAGGAACCCCCCAAAATAATATTCGTAATTATTTCGGCTTCTACATGAACGGCTTTAGGCTTTCGGCTTGGGGGCATGCAGGGTGTGGGGGTTTGCGAGTTTAGGGCTTCTGTGTTTTAGGTTCTGAAGGTTTACCCTGAGGGTCCATGTATTCAAATAGTATATACTTTGGCCCCATAGCAGTCCCTATATAGGTACTTTGGGGCCAATGTAGATACTATATGATATACATTGGCCGCAAAGTACCTATATAGAGACTACTTCGAGGCCAAAGTATATACTATTTGGGTACATGGACCCTTATAGGGTTACTTTTACCAAAGGATTTACGGGATCACGTTCTCCGCGGATGTAGTACATGATTAGATTTGAACCGGGCTTGTAAGTTTCCTCATTAAGGCTATCCTTCAGCTCTGCATAGATTCTCACGTTACGTGATGTAGACCCACCCCAATGTGATGTAGATCGCGAATAGAAGGACGTAACCAGGTGGACAGGATGAATATAAAGGCCCTATTGTTCCGCATGATCCTTGAAAGAAGGGCGGGGGGGCACTGCATGAGAGGTCGACCTCATGGTTCCACGCTGCACATGGCGGTTTTGGGATTCTGGAGGTTCATGTGTTTTCTTGTTACGTCATGCTTGCAAAACCCTAAAAACCCCTAAACCTAAAATCCCCTAAACCCTAAGCCCCTAGACCCTAAACCCCTGAACCAACAACCCTAAACCCAAAACCCGTTTCTCGTTTCCCAATGAACCATCGAATCTGAGGTTCCATTGTACCTGGCCTCGGAGCTTGCTAGGAAAGTAAGTATGAGCTTTGTAACGTACAGAGTGAAGTGGCCGCATCTTCGCTGGCGGTGCACAGAATTGCATTGGCCGCCTGGGACATGCGTGTGTTTGGTTGCCAATTTCACATGGTCACTGGGAATCCTGGAATACGGTAGAGAGGTCGATGTCAACATATCTTGTCTGAGTCATCCTCTGCCTTGCGTGCGGACACATCCCCATCCTTGTCCTAGCCCAGAAGACACTATAACATCTCAACATTCAGGATAGCATGGCCGCGGTCTTGTACATTTCCCCGAGCGCAGCGGCGGACATGCTTGACATGCTCATTGTGTCACCGGAGGCGGGTTAGGGTTCATGGTGACCATTTGGACTCATGTTTGCAATGCCAGCTTACGCCCTTCGATGTTGCTGGCGCTTTGTGGCTCGAGCTGCTGCCAGACATCCTTTGACAGCCGCCGAAGAAACCTCCGCTGAAAGCTTTCGCGACGGTCCCGAACCCTACGTCGTAATGCACAAACCTTTTAAGCTTGTAAGCCGTAGAAGCCCTGCAGCAGAGCGAATATGACACAACAGGTCTGTAGATGCTCCTGAAACAAACTATACACCTTCACGGGCCTGTACGAAAGTAACGGAAGTCCTTCGAGTAGTTTTACCACCAGCCGGCCCAGAACTGCCAGGCTCCATGCACTCCGCTGCATCCTTCGGCATGTAGACATGCGAAGTTCTCACGAGCATACCTAACTAGGGATGCGGCGTTGATGAAGCCGAATTAAACTCGAACCCCAGTCCACATCTTTGCGGCCTGAGCTTGGTGATCTCAAAAGGGAGCCAAATCGAGAGAACCCCAATCTTGCTTAATGCCGTCGTTTCGGTGCACATCCTCGACGCGTCCTGCGTGCTCGGAATTGCTTGGCAGGTCCAGGACGTCTCGAAACACAACATTCCACCGAGGACGGGCTGTGGGCTCGGTTTAGGATTCAGCGGTATAGGGTAAAATAGGATAGGGGTCTGAACAGTACTTGGTGATACCCCCGTACCGTCCCGTATACTTATTTTATGATATGCAACATATGCTTTTCAATTATTATGAAGGCTCCTATATTAGGAGGCTTGTCTACTTTTGCTGATAGAGTTGAATTGTTTGTGGATTGGACTAGAAGCCCCTGGCACGCCTTCCCCTCCTGAAGCCCTGAAACGGTAAATCTAAAACCCTGAACCTCCAGCCGATATGAGTGATAGCAGGACTACCTTCGGTGCTGGCCTGTCATCTGCTCCATGCCCGGCAAGCAATAAGGCTTCTGGTTGTCATTTTGAGGGTTGCAGAGCTAAGGTATTGGGTTGAAGGTTCAGGATGTAAGACCTCAAATCGTTGTAGGTCTTTCATTCTGATGGTTCCAGCTTAAGACTTAGGTTCTTGCGGCCTAAGGTTTAGCAGGGTACTTGTCAGGGGCCAGAGGAAGCTGCTTGAGCTTTACGGTGCAGTTGCAAGCTAGGGCTTGGGGTTCAGGGTTTTGGGTTTAGGGTTTAGGGTTTGGAATCTAGCAAGTATGTTTTGCTAGAAGTATACCATTGAATACTCAGGATGCAGGCTCTGATTGGTCTTCCGGGCCTAGCGCCCAACTCCCACGCGCGAAGTGGGGGGAGGGGGGTTGAGGTTTTAGAGTTTGGGGCTTATGGGTCCACTGACTATGCGTCAGCCTCATAGGGCTACCTCTCAAGGGCTTTATGCAAACCTTGCCGCAGGTTTTAGGGGTTTAGGGGTTTAGGGTTTGTAGGGGTTTGGGGGTTTGGGGACGCAGCTTGACTAGAGGTCCGGTACATCGGAGCTTTTTTTGGGTAGTCGGGTTCTCCAGGCTTGTGTCCCCCCTGGTATCCTGGGAAGAATGCTGTAATTCTTCAATCGCACCAGTCGCCCCCAGAAAGAGGTTGCAATTTCGAGAAATACCCACATGTACGAATCATCGGTGGAGGGCTTAGGAAGGAAAGCACGTACCTTTGCTCATGTACGTGACAGGACATCTTGGACTTTCGACACCTTCACAAGTGAACTTCGAAAGCCTATCGAGCTCCCGAACCTTCAACTGCTCCCCACATACTCTACCCGAAAACCTAACCCTAAAACCCAGGAAGTCATGAACTGCACTTACCGGCCCGATGTCCTCGTGCGAGATGGCGTCGCTTGACTTGCAGCAGCCCTGAGTTCTGCCGTTAGGAATCAGGGAGTTGCAGAGAATAAGCGAGTTTTACGTAGACCTTAAAGATGAGAACTCTTATGCAAAGAGCAGCTAGGTTTCAAAACGAAAGAACCCAGTAGTCCTTGTGGTTGCGAGTTGTTGCTCTTTTCAGCGGACGGTGTAGTTCTTTTCTCTTTGCAGGTGGCCGAGTGCCCTACTGTGACCTGTGGGCCGAAGACCTACGTAGCAAATTTCCCCATGGGTTCCCTATAGGTCCGTCCTTTACAACCGTACCTCGGGCTTCGAGCGAGGATTAGGTGCAGGGATCTTAGTTAAGGCTACAACTATGTCGTGTTAGCTCACATTGTTACAAATCATTAGAAATATATATCTAAACCCAAGCACTCTAAAACGTATTTGCATCCTGATTTCGGGCTTCGCGCTCTAAGTAAGGGTTTTGAGTTTTCGGCGTTGAGGCGTTCAGGGCTTGGGGTTTGTCGTAGGGTTTGGTCTGGAGTTCAGGGCGAGATTCCTGAAAGCTGTGTTGGGAAGCGACGGAGCACGAATGGTGTCGTCTTCAGTTCTGCAAGACATCTTGGAGCTCGTTGCATTTGAGGTGATGCTTCCGTGCTGGAAGTTCGACAGCCAGAAGGACACCGGCTGAGGAATAGCGAAACATCAGTGTCGAGGTGCAGTCAAACCCAATCTGCACTTCAGCTGCGCAGATGAGGCTTCTTGATCTGCCTAACTGAGTTTTCCTAAGCAGCTCCGGTCCACCCGTCCGCCCGCAAAGGTTTGTTTCCTGCTAGTCCAGGCTCATGATCGGACCCAGTAATATGATGTCACTCTGTTGACTTTACCGCCAAGCTGCTGTCCGTGAGTCAGACACAGCAGGGGTGGTCCAGGGGTAGTGTGCTGGGACAGCTCCATTTGAATGACGGCCACAATCGGTTGCTCCATGCAAGTTGTACAGCTAGTTTCACGACTAAGCTCGCACAGCTTCATTCGATTTGGACTGTGACTATAAACGGCCGAGTCCTTGTATGCAGAGACGACCCAACATGTTTTGGTGCCACGGGTGACCCAAACCGAAACCGCATTCAGGGCTTCCTCCCCTGGGGATGTTTATAGAGTTTACTACCCCGCAGCTTCCGAAGCCTTTGCTGATGCAATTTGTCGCTCGATTGTTTTTCGTAGGTTCGAAATTCCCTGATTCAACGAGAGACAGGGTGCAACAGGGCACCTTTACGGGCTGGCGCTTTGTTCTCTGGGTTTCCCTGTCTGCACCAAAGCATGGTCGCAACGAAGCTGAGTTTTCGAAGCGGAGCAGGACATCAGCCAACAACCTGGCATCCAGTGGCACTCCTCGTTCATGCCGGAGGCCTTGCTGAATGACGTGTACTCTCCCCGAAAGGGGTTGGTCCGGACTTGTTCCGGAGATATGAAGTATACTAGCCTCCGGTCGCTCTCTGAATTGGAAACCTGCGGAAATCTGCAAGCCCGCGCAAAATAACGATCCAGGTGTCCAAGTCCGGAAGCGGTCGAAATGCCGTGAACGTCTCCGTTCGGGCAACGCTCCTGTGCCTTGGCCCCACGATGAATGATGTTGAACTTCGATTCGGGATCAAGCGACATGTCTCAATCACGAAAGGGCCAAGGAATTTGTGTGAAGGCCCAGAACTGTTCTCAGCCTCACCAGTGCTGGTGTAATTCGGTATGTTACCAAATTCCCTGTGTTACCCTGTGCCGGATGATTCTCCCTGGCCTTGCGTTTTTTTGTTTTGAAATTTCGGGTTGCAGTACCTTCAGGTTAACCTTCAGATTGGAGTGCAACAGTACTAGGTCAGTTTTTTAGCAACACTAAGCTTGTGAAATCTTCCAAACCCTGAACCTTTTCTAGCCAGGCGAGGCAACAAACAACACACTGAACCTTCAAAAACCACGTGGAGGATAGACTTCTCCCCTGATGTCACAACGAGGCCCAACATGCTCGACATTGACATCATGATGGCCGTGTCACAGGTAGAGCAGGAGGAGAAATATTCAGCTTATGTCCTTTGCAAGACAGAGCTGCAGATCCACATTTGTTGGGGCCTGTTTGGTTTTCTTATTCCCCGACGGGCCTGATATTACATTCCCGTGGATACATACGTACCTGGGCCGGTTCTTCTGGTGCAAAGGTCGTCTTCTGTTAGACAAACGCTTCTTTTGTCAGAGGTCTTTTGTTGTTCTCAACTCCAATGGCTTAGCTTGGCTTTGCTTGGTTCGTCTGGCTTCGCTCCAGCTTGCAAGCGAGTGTTCAATGAACCTACCTTGGTTCGGCTTATTCCTACACAATGCAGGAGGCGCTATTCAGGCAGTTCTTGTATCACGGATAATGCAGGGGCCTTAATAATTAGAACCAGGTTTTGGGGGTTCCTTATTCTAACTATACTATAATATACCCCAAGCCCTATTCTNNCCCCCCCCCCCCCCCCATATTAGACCTTGCAAACAATGCCTTTCACTCGAGAGTCTTCCTTTCATCGGGCCCTCAGCTTTCGATGACCGAACACTGCATCTTGCAGGCGTCCTGTTCTTTTTTGTCAAAATGCCGAGACATGCTTTGGGGTTTAAAGTTTAAAGTGCACAGGCACACCTGTGTATCCCCTCAGGGGTTGGGGTTTGGAGAGGTTGGGAAGACATGCATATGAGGATTTTTCTACCGGTCGGCAGGTGCAAAGTAGACGGCCTACGGCCGAGTCTTCGATCACAGACCGATACCAACTACGAAAATCTACGAAAGACCAAGCCAAACAAGCTTTTGAAACACAGAAAAGCAAAGAACATGCGGTACCT